TTCTAAAGTTGAGGATTTTTCAACTGGCGACAAAGGTAGCTAAGAATAAAATCTAGATTGCCACACACACGTTGTCTAGCAAAGACCAGGGAAGCAGAGTGCCCAGCCACTGCCCAGCCCGGGACAGGGATGGAGCAGCAGCGTAGGGTGGATCAGGTGACCTGGCTGCTCCCTCCCGAGGGATGCTGCTGCTGGGTACACATCCTATAAATTTCTACTTACTATTATCCTGCATCTCTACTACAACTAAGGGAATAAATGGTAGTTTGACCAAGCTGTTCAAACAGCTAAACCCTGTTTCTCCTACTGATCAAACTCTCCTTTGTTGAATCTACCTCATCTGACCAAACTCTGGACTCAGTGCCCTGAAGGGCTCAATCCTCCCACGTCTTCTCTGCTGTCTGCACACACAGACTGGGTGATCTCATACATTCCCAGAGCTTTAAATACCCTCTACATGTTGACAATTTCTAAATTTGTATCTCTAGTCCCATCTGCTCCCCTGAACTCCAGACTCATATATCCAGCTGCTCCCTAGACAAGGCTACTTAAATATCCAGTTAGCATCTAAACAGATTCAAAATTTAACTATTTCTTCCCAATCTCTTTCCTCATCTCAATCAATGGCCACATCTTCTACCAACTGAACTACTTTTCTTCTTAGCACTTATGATCAGACATAATTTGTGCAACATCTATTTCACCTGAGTAGAATGCAAAGATGCCATGAAAACAGGTATTTCTGTCACAACATATAAGGACTAAAAGGGAGTCCTTTAGGTTGCATGGAAAATGCAGGCCCCCCTCCCCCCCGGGAAGACACATGGAGTGTTAATAACAAGATGGAGCCAATTCTGAGAGAGAGGATGGAACAGGAGGTTAAGGCAGAGGAAATAACAAATGCAAAGAATAACTTCAAAAGAAGCTTGTAGTGACAGGATGGAAGGAGCAGAGAAAGCCCAAGGGGATGGAGGACAAGGGACAGGAGCGAAAGTACTGGAAGGGAACAATGAAGGTAGAATATGGTTCCAGAGATTCAGGGAGAGAAAATGTCAAGTCCAAAGGCTTGAGGCAAGAGTCAAATTCAGTGGTTCAATACAAATGGCAAAGACCTTGTTACCAAGATCTCTTCCAGAAAGCCTCAACTAAGCATTTCATGTTTCCCAAGAGGGTTCTCTTTGTATGTTTGTATTTGCTTAAATTAATTTTGAACAGCCTGGGCTGAAGTGATAGCATTTGCACAGCCAAGTCAGCTGTGCTCTGAAGTAAAACAGAGCACACAGCGGCATGGAAACTGAGGAGATCTTACCACAAAGTTAAAGGGCTTAGAGGCCCCTTTTTGCATTGGGGAAAGTATCAGAACTTTCCACAAAAACATCCCATCTATTGACATCTCTAATCAAAATCACTTAAGGGCTGCATTCTGCAGAGAAAAATTCTAACACTGCCAATAAAGATGCACTTTAAAAAATAAAACTATGTCACAAATCAATATGCATATACTAATTGAACACAATGAGCATTTTACTAAGGTGATTACAGAGGGCTCTTATTTCTCATATTTATGTCTTTAAAGGCTGTTCTTGCATAGCCATGTGATGGTGGATGTTAATCAACATCTTGGAAATGCTGCATCATGGAAGATGTTTTTTGAGTGATAAGTGTGAGACAGAATAAACTATACCCTCAAAAATTTCTGAAATGGATATTTCCTATTACTTTTTCTGAGTCACTTTTCTGTTGCAGAAAAATATGAATTTTTAGTTGGCTTGAGCATATTTTTTTTAGCAGAATTTTTCTTTAAATGCCCAATAATTAAAGCTAGCAAGGAACTAAGAGATTTCATTTCTAAGAACTCAGTGTTTCTTTAGACTCTTTCTGAAATAACCTTTCAGTTACTTAGATGGTGCATTCATCTTACTCAGTATGGTATGCCATTGGAAGCAAGAGAATTTGCTTAAAGTTTTAAGTGTCCTCTTCCATCTTTTTAAGATTTCATTACTTAGGAACTTTTCTGACACATTTTTGCTCAAACTCAATTAATATATGTCAAGACTTATCATTGAAAAAAACTAAATGATTAAATGGCTTTATAATTACAGAACTCCCTTATACTTCCCTATTACACTTAAAATATTCTACTTCCTGAATGAAGCATCAGCTTTTAAGACACAAATTCTTCATGTTTTTGCACAAAATCCACTACCAGCTATACCTTCAGTTGTAACATCATATGACTGGAAGTATTGATTCATCACTCCAACATTTAGATTTGTGTGTTTAATGATTACTTTTATGTTATCTTTGTAGAAATGCAATCAGCAGGCTTTTATCTAGAGATTTTTCATCACTTTTTTGTATTCTTTATTTCAGACCTTCTGTGAAACAGATAAAGAAATCAAAACTTGTCATATCACTTCACTCATCAATACAGAATTTTCTCCTTGCCTTAGAATGAGAAACATGACTGAAGGCAGAAATGAAGATCCTTGAAACACTAGAGCTGGCGAACCAATCTCCATCTCCATAGCTTATAAGACACTATCACATTCTTCAGCCATTTCTTATTCTTGGTCTTTGTCCTTTAACCCGCCATCATATTTCAAGATACGATGTATTTGTAGATAAGCATGATCTCAAGATCCTCCTCATGAAAATCCAGACCTCTAAGCCCAGCCTTCTTGATTCCTAATGCCTGCTTAGACACTTCTAAACTTCCTCACTCTCTGGACCAACTCCACTGACATGTTTGTTCAGTGTTTTAACTCCTACTCTTGATCACAACTTGCTTGTCTTCTCTTAGAAGGCCCTTTGTTCCTAGTGAACCTTCAACATAGCTAAATACTCTGCCCTTTCTGCTTTCTAAGGCTATCATTAACCTCCTGCCTCATTTATCACTATATTCCATCAAGACCCATTTTCCCATTATGCAAATCCATGTCCCTGTAATCCAGCACCATACCTTCTGTGCCAATCACCAGCTTGAATCTGACCTCCCAACTGTTCTTACTGCTCACAATCCAGGGCTCTGGGTATTGCTAGAAAAATCTATGAAGACTAATTACCATGTTTTTTCTTGACATATTTATGTTGTCTGACGTCAACGGTTCTTTATCACCGATCACCAGTCTCTTTTCTCTTGTAGAACCTGCTCCTGGCTGTTCTAAACTATTTCTACAAACTCCTTTCACAGCAAATGAATACTACTACTAACGCTGTTGTCCAATTTCCTGTCCAAAATTCTGTGTTTTAACCAATCCTCTCCTACCCAAAAGAGAGAACGTTTCCCCAGGGCCTACAGGTCTCCTTGGTGCTATAAGAACATTCTCGTCTTTTTTCTCCTGTTAGCTACAACACATTTCCCCATAGTCTTTACACCAATACATTTTCTAAAATTATAGCCCATGCTAGTTGGGCTTATCACTCTCCTGAACTATTTGCACAAAATTTGAGTCCCAACCTCATTTGACCCAGAACTGTATATTCCCCTAGCTGCCATGCCATTTCCAACTTTTTACTTTCACATCTCCTTAACCACACTTTTACATTTCCATCATCAGCTCCTCTTCTGGGTCTTAAGTGTACCTACTTCCCACATCTCCCCATGGAACCTGGATTTCTACTGTGTAGCTCATAGAGCTGGAGGATTATGTATAAAGCATTTTAAAGTGTCCTATTTAGCCTCAAGATCCCAACAGTCACCTCCATAAAAAGAGCTTTCTGACTTCCCCAGAAAGGGTCAGTCTCCTATAATGGTTTCTATGTACCTAGTACACATCACACAGCATGGCTGTCTCTGATACTGGGACCAGACACATAGTACGCCAGTGTTTCCTAATCCCATGCTGATATTGTCATTCTTCTATTCAAAAACTTCTAGCAGTTCTCCCACAGCCTGTAACAAACACCAAAACTTCTTAGCCCAGCTCTTTATCCCTGCATAAGGCCAAAACTACCAGTCAATTTTCTAATAACCTTCTAAAAACCTTCCTTATTCTACAAATACACACAGTACCTTCTCCCACTTTGCGGCCTATGCTCAAGCTCATTTATAGGACTGCCATGTCCTGGTTGTGTGATTCATTCTTAGCTCAGAATCAAGTCTGAGTCAAGTCTGCCTTAAAGACATCCTCCTTAAATTGCTCTCCCTTATCCGTTCAGCAAAATAACACCAAAACTGTGCTGCATTCCTAGCACATATGGTCCACACTTGAGTTTTTTATTTATATATACATATAAGTCCCCAACAGGATGGTGAAGCCAGTGATATCAAAGATGATGTTTTTAAACAAGTCTGTAACTGACATTCAACATGTTCATCACCATTAACATTTATTTATGATGTGCCAGGAGTTGCCACAATGCTTTAATTTACAACAATACTTTTCCCATATGCAAGTGGGAAAACGTACTCATAGACAGGGGCCTTCACAGAAATTTGAACATAATGGGTACAAAATTATATCTGTGAATGAATAAATGTATTACTAATAACTATGCTGATACTGTCATATAAGTTAATTCATCAACCTAGACTGCTTTCCCCATTCTTCCCAGCCCAGCAAAATTCTCTCAACTTCTAAGACCCAACTCACCTTTCAAGAGCATCTCCTGCTAACACCCTGACAAAGTCCGTTATGCCTTCCATGAGTCGTCTCTAAGGCTTCTAATCTGTCATTATCATAATACTAAGGTTATTTAGAAATTTGCTTAATTAGAATGGGTTTCTTAATGGCAGCTGGTTCAATATCTTTAATTCTCAGAACACAATTAACTAGAAAGCAAAATGAATATAATTTATATCTGCCCAATAAATGAAATCAACAGAAATGGGTATCTTATGGCAATATTTGATAATTATACTCAGACATCTTTTCTGTAAATTTAGTTCATGTATCCATTATAAAGTCTGATGTGGCTCAGTCTAATTCAGAAGGTCTATTCTTTCTTTTAATATGGCCAAACAGGCATTATTCTCAAGAAATGGGGCACAAACTTACCAGTCTCCTCCTTTCTTCTTCCACTGCAATGAGTAGTCTTGCAAATTCTTTTAGTGACTGAGCTATTCAGAAGGGAAAAAAAAGCATTAACATTTTTTCAATGCTAATATCTAGTTGCACAGGAATATTACAGTAATGCTAGCTATATGTGTGTATATATAGACTGGTTTTATGTTTTTATAAGCATAAAAAATATATACAATAGTATCTCAATGACTAACAGCTATTGATAAGAGGTGTTTGTGGGTGCAACAAACTGAAGTTTAGCACACATCATAGTATGCATATTTTTTCCTCAAAACAGGAGTTATAGTAGCAGTAGCATATTCTTTAAAAAGGTATTGTCCCAAATGGCAATTGTGAAAGTATTGCACCCATATCAATTTCTGTACCTTATACTTAATATGAATGATTAATTGAAGCTGGAATGCTTCAATTTGAAAACAAAATAAATAAGATGAATGCAAAATGTATTATTTAAATTTTGAACCTTCCCGTCAGGTCCTTATTCTTTGGGCTCCCCATCTCTTCCTTCATCCATGCTAATACTGAAAACATTTTGTGAGACCAGCAGTCTAGTATGTCTGGCATAAAGCCTACAATAAAGGCAGGTAAGTGAGGAAAACTAGTCAAGAGTCTCCTCAACAGAAATTGTCTACAATGGAAGAGAAAGTACTTTTCATTCAAGAACGTAGAATTCCAATCCAGACTTTTTTTTCTTCTTTTCAGAACTACTAGGCTTATATTAAGTAAGCTGGTTCGAAATGCCATCCTTATGATTACTCCACGCAGCATTTTATTCAGTTACCAAAACAGAAATCAAAGGAGTACCTGGGAGACTCAGATTAATCTGATAAACACGTTAATGGCCTTAAAGTATAACTTTTTTAAAACCTTTAGAAAAATGCTATTTTAATTTCTGCAAAAATAACTATCAATGCTATATACTACAACCCAGTTTTGACAGCAGTAAGTTGAACAGAAGGACATTTTACAAATAAACAGAAGATTCTAGCTGGAGGGCTTAATAGACATATTTTTGTACTGTCAGTAAAGAAAGCATTCCATAACCATTACAGCTATTTGCTGCCACTGAAGACCTCTGTTGGTAAGCCTGAGAAAAATGTCACCACAGCTTTGGGCAATGGAAGATAACGTGAACATGCCTACAGAGGAAGGAACCAAGAGGTCAGTAAGTTTGGGCTACTGGAACTGGAGGCAGCAAGTACTCCTGAAGATGATAAGATATAAATAGGAAGAATAGCCGAAAGTCCACATAAGAAGCACTTTAACCCCAGATTTCTAATTCAATGCTGGCCAACTTTTTTAATAACTATCAAAACAAACACACAACTTACCCTCATAAGTTCCCTTGTATTGGAAGCTATTGGATAATGCACTCTAACAAAACATGGGAATAAACCAAGGGAAGAGGATACGAAATCTATAAATAGGAGATCCAATATAGCAGAAAAGCAAATGGAATTCCCAGGACTACACTTTGATATTCCAGGATAACAGCTGTGCCAAAGGTCCAAGAGAGGCTCTTGTCTAGACTGGAATGGGCTAGGCGTTCCAGTTAAATGTCTCCAGAGAAAAGCAGAACTGATCAATATCCTGATGTGTCTCAGTGTAGTAAGAGGAAATCTAAATGCTCCTTTATTTAAAAAAAAAAAGCAAAGACAATTATTAACTCCTGGGAAAATGAAGTTTATACAAGTAACAAACAAAATAGCTGAATCATAATATGTACAAAGTCATTAAATATAATTTTGACAAAACCAATTTTTAATGTTTAAGTTTTAACTCCTTAATAGAGGAAAGGAACACAAGATAGTATGAACTTAAGACATTATGTGTCAACAGTATAAAGTGAAAAGATGATATCTAAAGTTGGAGAGGTGCAGGGGGGATGATCATGGTCCTCAAAGAAATTAAAGAAATGGCTAAAAGGCCAAAGCTGTCTTTCTGGGGAACTAGTGGTGAGGACTAGTAAGCATGAGACTGCCAGACTTTGTAAAAACTAATAAAAATCTATAATTGCTTTAACAAATAATGTAAAATACAACATGGTATAAATGCTTTATTTTCCTACTAACCTAAATTCTAGGAGGGCACAGATCATTTATTATTAATTTTCCAAAAGGATTTAGTTAAGATCTAGCACAAAGAACTCTGTCAACAGGTACTTTTGGAATAAATGAAAATATAATTTGACTTTAGATTGGCAGGGGTATACTAGAACATCCCACTTGGTCAACCCGGAAAATGATCACTGGCCCGGCTGTAGCACCCTCACAGCTCAAGCAGTGTTTTATTATAACTGCAGAAGTCCACAGACTTCCCCAAGTAACTACCACTCCCAGAGTAAACTGTGGAGTTGCCTTAAATAAGATTTTAGTTATAAGCAAGGAAATTCAGGTTCTTTTTAACTGCTGCACCTTTAAAAATTAACAATGCTGTTTTCTGCTTTACTTGAATAGTTTTCTGGTCTGTTTCCCACATAAGTATTATTTATAGACTCAGTGTGATACTAGTTGATTATAATGAGAGCGTCTGAGGAGAAAAATGTTTACCAAGCAAAAGCAATTGCCTGTCTGGTTCCTCAAAACCAAAACTACACTCCCTCCGGCAGTTTTCTGGGTGTGCCCCAAGCTGACAATACATTTTGTTCCATCTTTTTATTTTGTTGATTTTTCAGGAAAATGACTTCAAAAAACTAAGATTGCTTTCTTGAGATATAGTATAGCCTCAGTTCCATTAAAGTATACATTCCGGCTCCCAGTGAACACATATTCATGTCCACCATTTGTTCCTTTAAGAAAATGAACAGCCAGGTACATTAAATGTGTCCCAAATTGGTGGCAGCCTACTTTTTTAACTCCTATCTAACTTTGCCTCTAAATCTTTATTTATAATGGTATCAAAGTACTACCTTAGTTGTTTACTAAGCACAACATAGGAAACAGGAATTAATCCTATAAAGTAGGTATAAAATAACTCAAGGTATCATATGAACTGAGTTTTAAGAGAAAGAACTGATGGATAGCCATTCATTTCTTTGCCTGTCCGACCCTTAAACTCTAACAGGAATTTCCACACACATCAGGCAGATCCAAGCTGCCTACTGTACCCCAGCAGCTCTCAAGAGATGAGAAACCAGTATTAGAATCTCTGGTACAGGACCTGGAAGTGCCTTAAATGATGAAAATGGGAGGGAGTCTATTCTCCAGCAGACTGTGGGCACAGAACATACACAAAGACTCCCTCAGCACCCATCACAGTGCCTTAATACAGAACAGCTATTGATTTCAAGACTGTTTAAAAGCCATTTCTTCTATGACTTTATTTAAGCAAAATTCGAAAATGTTTATTACATGCAAATTTCTAATACCCAATACTTTTTTACAAGCAGTTATTTGTGATGTTCCACATTTTATTAACATTTACTTAAATAACCATTTCATTATCTGAGTTTGGGGCCCCACTAACATTGAATACAACAGCTGGTCCTGCAATTATAGATTTTGCCCATACCTAGGTAGCTTGACAGCTTGATTTAGTGAGAGCAATATTCCAAAAGCCATACTTAATACACAGTGGGCTTTCAATAGATGATCACTAAATGAATTAATGAGTTAAACAACACACTCCCACAGTCTACTTGCTCTGTAAGGAGAAATACACCAATTCTTATTCTAGGCTTCATAAAATATTATGAAAAGCATAGGCCACATACTTTGGAAAATTATGTTAGCTATTCACATTCTTGCCACCTGCGTGAAACTTTCCTGGCTGTATTCACCAGCAATAATCTTCCCCTTCCTGACCATCTGGACCATGAGATTACTGGAAAGCAATCAAAATATAGTTTCATATATAAATTTTAACTTTCCAACAAATTGAGGTCAAGAATATTGCTATAGATTTCCTTTTTATATCCACAATATGATATTGGAAAAACACTTTTGGAGCAAAAGAAACCTATTATTAAGGTGCATTTATGACAGGTACCGAGAGTAATAAACATTCACAGAGACAACAGTTGAATTACAGATGGTAAATACAATAATGGCTTCTATATTTACTAATAAATTCTGAAACATTCATAAGCTGTCTATTTCCTAACTTAATCCCTTCAGCAGGCTTAAATTCACCCTATTTTTGACTGTGAAAAAACTGTTTCATGTCTAGAAGAATGAGCGAGAACAAAGAAAATTATTCCCTGCTCACTACAGACATAACTCCACTACCTTAAGTGTTAAGCATTATATTATTAAATGTTTCAACAATTGGTCAGCTTGGTTTACAGATTTTGCAACTAGAAGGAAAATTAAGAAAGCATGTCTCTCTTGTATCCAACCAACATTTATACCATAACCAGACAACGATTTCTCCCAGAAGTGTTTCTTCAAACCTAAACAGCATAAACATAGTCCAAAGTACGGGTCACAAAAACAGTGACGTACAGAATTATGTCAACAACACATTTTTTTCACTTTATTATAGTGAGTAAGTCATTTATGATGTTCAGATACATTGATGAACAGGGAAGAACTGGGTTAGCAGTAGGATTCAGACCAAACTAAATTTCAAGGGAACCACAAAAACCTATAGAAGTCTATAAACCAAATGCCAGATGAACCAACACAATATATTTTGAAAGTCCAGATGGCTCCCTGACAGTCACTTGACTTTTCTATTTGAGTGTGAAATGTAGGCTCTACCAAGCTCTTTCTTAATATCCCCTGGCACCAACTTTTTATGAAGAGTAGGAGAAAGGCAGTTACACATCAACACTTAACTGAGGGTACAAGTCAGAGAAGGTGGGTTTGTCACAGCAGGCTCTAGATCTGGCCATATCAAGAAAAATATGAGTAGAACCAATATGCACAGCCAAGCAACACCCAGCATCACACTACCAAGCGTGTAACAGGTATCACTCCAGCGGTCCAGGCCTAGAACTCCCACTAGGAGTTTTCATTCTCTGAACACTGACAAGAGCAAAGGTGGCATCCTGACAGAAGTGTCCAGGGGAAAGTGTTGGTTCAGGAACAGTAAG